CTATCTCCCTGACAGAACATGCTGGAAGTGGAGATGTTTGGGTGAAAATCTCTAGGGGACATCAACGGGGGCTGGCAGCAAGAAGGGGGGGTTACTGGCCCAGGTGTGCCCCTTCGCTAGGTCCGCTGCCACTCCCTAAAGCACCTTCCACGGTGCATGCTATTACCTGTTCCTCTTTCTCTACCCCAGTGGCTCTCCAGACACTTTAGTCTGACCCTCCTCCCTCAGCCACAGGCATGGTGGCCACCACCACTCCTTAACCTGTCACCTGTGCTCTGCAGGGATCTCGTGGCCGGTCCGGTAGATGTGTGACTGTAGCGCCGTCCTGCTGGCGTAGGGACAGCCACAGGTGCACTGGAAGGTCTTACCGCAGTCCTCCGAGTGCCTTCTCAGGTCCCACTCGGTGCCATAGGAGTTGCTGCACTTACTACACTTGTGCTTCTTCTCTGCATGCATCTTCATAAAGTGCTAGGGAGAGCAAGAGGGAATGGGGTGAACGATGGAAGAAACTTAGAATGTTTGCAACCCCCTTCAACAAACCATTACCAACATTGGCTCTAGATGTTGATGCAGCTAATTAAAAACCAAAAGCAGACTCACCACCATCGAGTCAATTCTGACTCTTGGCGGCCCATAGCACAGGGTAGAACTGCCCCTGGGAGTCTCTGACACTGCGACGAGAGCGCACAGCCCAGTCTTTCTCCCTTGGCGCAGCTGGTGGTTTTAGACTTCCAACCTTGCAGATCTCAGACCGCCATGTAACCACAATGCGAGCAGGGCTCCTTTATGCAGGTAATAGAGCAGCCCAAACAAAAACAGTGAAAAGGCAGCCAAGGTCATACACCTCTTCACCTTGCCACTTGTGCTTTGTTAAGGTGTGGAACTCGGTTCTGGAAATAATATCTGGGGCCTAGCATATAGGCTTCAACTACAAGTTGAGTGCTCTCAACAGGGAAAATGTCTTTGTGATACTTTTCGGAAGACACACACCAGGAAAGCCTTGAGGGAACAGTTCAGAAGGCACCCTCCCCCGCCCCAAGTCATCCCTGGGCCCCTCCTTCTCCTATGGTAGCTGCTGTTAGGATGGTTTCCCTGGATCCGACTTACTCCCAGGGGAGGGCATTGCCTCAGCACCTTCTAGCAGCACACTCTCCTGCAACTATGTGCACACTCACGGAGACCCTCAATCACACATGGCTATTCTTGGCCACAATGGTCTACAACTCCCACCTGTGGAGAGACACCTGCTCAGCAGATAGAACTGCCTTCCCTTTGGCGGTCACTACAAGCCACGTCCTTGTTCAGCCACTAGGAGACACGGGGTCACCTCGGAATTCTCCGACTAGGCCTGTGCAGTTAGCAATGACAGCACACGCTAGGTTTGGACAGTTCATCTGCAGAGGATTAAGCTCACAACAGAATACCTGCTTAACGAGGGAAAACTGAGAGAATGGTCTTTCGGGACCTCTGGGGCAGCCTTCAATCGGACAGCAGTAGAATTTCGGTACAGTTTTCAAATCTTTCCTTATTGTTGGATTCACGATGCCGTCCTACAAGAGAAAGATGACATCACATCCTGACTTTCCAGAAGGGGCTGGAACAGGGGTGTCTGAAAACAGGCGCGAGGCTCCTGTGCAGGATGACAGAGATGGCCTGTAGGTGGGCTGCAGGACTGTCAATGTATTACTACATGAAGTCATTCACTTCTTCATGGAATTGGGGAAGGGGGATTATGGTATCCAGTGGGATATGTATCCCCAAAA